TTTTTTCTGTTACTTTAGTTCAAGGTAACAAATAAATATTGTTGCGTTAGATTATTAAGAGTAACATTTATGTAAGTGTTGCAATCTTAAGTGTTGTCTATTCTTATTTTTTTGTAGTGGTTTGTTGTTGCTACCCCACAATCTGCTATTGTTGCTGCTGGACAGTTTGTTGTTGTTGTTCTGCATTTTGTTGTTGTTTCTGCTCTGTATTCTGTTCTTGCTGCTCTGCATTCTGATGTTGTTGCACATTGTGCACATGTTGCCTTGTATTTGACGCTTGCCTTATCTTACGCAACTGCGATGCATCCCACTGCACTTGCTCAATTGCCATTTTCCTATATCAATTTCTTGTGCATGATATTAGTGATATTCAAATAAGCATAAAAGCAACATAAAATTATGAAAAACTAAACTTCATCAAATCTAATCTATATAAAGAAACATATAAATGAAGACTCAACAAATTAGCAGTTGCATTGGAATGGAGGGAAGACCCTAAACAAGAGAAATTAAAACAAGAAAAGCAAACAAATTGAAAAAAGAAAGCTGCTACAAAACAAAGAAACTAACACAAAGAACAAACTAAAAAAAATAGAGCTAGTTTATGTCTAGTGATTAACTTTTCACCATATGAGAAAACCACTAATGCATAAAAATAGTTTTGCTAATTACTAACTAAGAGAAACAAAGATTTGATTATAGATTGTAGTAGCGCCTAAATTGCAACATTCTCTGCGGGTGCTGGGTAACTGCAATGATACCAATACAATATATTTATAAGAAAAAATGATTTAAGTGACTCATTTACTTCATTTTAGTTTAGAAAACATCAATTACCAGAAACTAAGAAGGGGAATCTGTAGAACTATCGCTGTCAAATTCTACATCCTCAAGATCCTCATCTATCTCATGACGCTACAGCTTGTATCAAGATCGTCTTCATCATCCTCTTCACTTTCCTCTTCTTGCTCATCGTCATTATCCGTGTCAGAACTATTATTAGTACATTCTAAGATGACCTCTGCATCAACCAACTCTAGTTCAACATCATCTCTTACCATATTGATTTCCTCATCACTAAGTGTAGTGAACTCTTCAAGGTTAGTTGCTCCTTCTTCCACAACATTCCATAGATATTCATTTTGTTCGGCGTCTTCATCATTAGGGAAATCAAAAAAGTTACGTGACTTAACTTTAATTACATATTTCCAATGTCGCTCATCATGAGAAGAGATAAAGAAAACTTGTTCAATAATCTTAAAAGCTAATGCAAACGGTTCATTTGTTTGCAATGTACAAGAAACATTGACAAGCGTAGACCCAAATTTGTCCTTTTTAATCCCTCTTGCGTCGCTGAATACATCAAACCACTTACACCTAAACAATACCACCTTAGGAATTATTCGGTTTTCTAAGGCATCATACTCGAGAACAATAACTTCATCTAAAGTCCCGTAAAAGTCCTTCCCTCCACTCTCTACATCCCCTAATACAATAACGCAACTATTTTGGGTTTTTCGATGTCTTTGACGCTTTTTAGTGTGAAATCTAAACCCATTAATAACATATCCATCAAAAGTTACAACACGCTTCATCGGCCCTCATGCCAAGCACAATAATTCTTCTGTAACTCGTTCATCCTTATCTTCCCAAAGTTGTATAATCTAATTATTTTAAATAAAAATAAAAATAAAAAATGAATATATGTGCAGAATTTAATGTATTTATGTGTGTGTGTGTGTGTATATATATATATATATATATATATATATATATATATATATATATATATATATATAGGAATAAAGAACTATCTTATTCTATTCTCAAACCACTTGCAAAATTCAACATCTCGATGGCCTATGTCATTCTCATACTCATTACGAAAAAAAAATTTGTTTATTAACATTTAGTCCGTATAATAATATAATTATAATTTTACATACTTACTCGAAAAAAGGTTGTGCTTCTTCATAATTCTGCAAAAACATACAATTGAGCTTTTCTCCAATCTTCAATACTCAATTGCATTAAATTTGGCTTCCCCAATGGCTTGCCGGTGTTATAAAACACCGAAAGACTTTGTAGTGTTGGATAGTTCATATCCTCATTTCGATCTAAACGATTGAATTGTGTCTCAATCTTAGGGAGATATCTAGCACAAAATGCTAGTAATTCCTTCTGAATATACCCTTCGACAATTGATCCTTCAAGATGCGCTTTGTTCCGTACAAATGGTTTAAATGTCCGCATTGCTCTAATAATAAAGACTAGAATAAGTGTAATAAATTTCACTTTATATTTAGATATTTAGACATACAATAAATTATACTTACCTTTCAAATTGATACATCCAGCGATAATGCACAGGTCCAGCCAATTTTGCTTCTGTAGCTAAGTGTATGGGAAGATGAATCATCACATCAAAGAAAGCCGGAACAAAGATACGTTCTAGCTTGCATAATGTGATTGTTATATTTGCTTCTATTCGTTCCAAGTCGGCTACTTTTATGGTCTTAGCGCAATGCTGCTAAAAAAACAAACTAAGCTCTCTTAAAGGTCCTAAAACTTTTTCATCTAAGACACCTTGAAAGGTCGGGGTAAGAAAATCTTGCATGAAAACATGAAAAACATGAGTTCTCATTCCTATGATTTTTCCATCTTGCAAAGAAGCACATCGAGCAATGTTAGATGAATAACCATCAAGGAATGCTAATTTCGATAAAAATGTGACAATTTTCCTCCTTTCATGTAAGGTCAAGTTGAAAGGGGCTCGCGGTATTTGATACTAATCCCTTACTTTCTTCGGTCGAAGATCATCGTGCATTTTCATGGCTTCTTAATCAAACCGAGCATTTAAAGAGTCTTTGTTCTTTCCAGGTAAGTCAAGTCACGTGCCTAATATATTTTCACAAACGTTTTTTTCCACATGCATCACATCCAAGTAATGTCGAACTAATAGATGTCTCCAATAAGGCAATTGAAAAAAAACGCTAATCTTTTTCCACTAGTGAACAATATATCTTTTGTCTCATTTTCGTTTCCCTTTATTATCTTTACCAAATTCTACATTAGGGTATCCATGTAGCTTCTTCCAATGCATCATTCCCTGATAATGGATTAGGTGGTGCGCGCCTTTCAACTTTCTTACTAAAGAACCTCTTATTAAGTCACCACTTATGATCTGGTTCTAAAAAAACACGATGACACATATAACACCATTTGTGGCCATGTTTCAACCATTTGGAATTTGTGTCTTTGTGGAAATTTGGGCAAGCCTTCGCCCCTTTAGTGCTCCACCCAGACAAATTGGCATATGCTAGGAAATCACTAATTGTCCACATTAACACTACTCTCCTATTAAATGTCTCCTTACTGTGGGCATCAAAAGTTTTAAAGTTTTTACCCCAGTCTCCCATAATTCCTTCAAATCATCAATCAAAGTTTGTAAACTAAAATGAATGCGATATGAAAGTACAGAGTGAACGTCCCAAGAACTAGAGAGAGAAAGTTAAAAATCCGATTCAAACCCACAATTTTGAACTTCGATTTTCAGCCCGATTTCAATGGCAAAGAGGAAGAAGGGTAAGGAAAGCAAGAGTTCAGGATCCAAATTGAAGAAAAAGCAGAAAGCAAGGCAGAATTCTGGACCCAAAATAAAAAAAGAAATTATACGAAGAGAAAAGAACAGAGCATTGCCTCTGAGGACGTTTCAGTTGAGAGCTGGCTTGATGAAGTAATGGAGAATACTAGCTCTATGAAGGAGGTAAATGTAGAGGATTATGGTGAGCATAAGCAGGGGTTTAACAATTGGCTTAAGGTAATTCGTTCTTCTTCATCCTCCATTGATGATGAACTTCGTACTGCTGCTTGTTGTGATAGTGTATTAAATTTTGATAATCCAACTCCTATTTTGATGCCTAAGAACTCTAAGTGTAATATGAATGCATTTTCCCCAATTTCTTAGAACCCCGATTTGCAATCCTCTGTTTTTCAATCCCCAATCTCTAATTCTGTTGCTCGATTAAATTGGAGGGAAAGCTTGTTTCAGGACACTAGGGATGAGGGTGTAGACCTTTCTGAGAGGAGGAATGATTCTGTAAGGGATAGTTGGGATAAGGTTCAAATCAATTTTGAGGATGTACAACCAGAGATTGATTTCTAGAATTCTGCAATCGTATGCCATGTGATTGGAATCAAGACATTATTGCCTATTGTTAATGGGTTTGTTAGAAGAATATGGGGTAAATTTGGTGTAGACAAGGTTTCTTGAATGGAAAAAGGGATTTTCCTTGTTCGGTTCAAGACTGTTGATGGAAGGGATAGAGTATTGGGTTCATGACCTATATGGTTTGATAATAAGCCTGTAATAATGAAAAAATGGGTGGCGGGAATGGACCTGGCTAATGAACTAGTGGATTTAGTCCCTATTTGGGTGAGGATGCCTGGTTTGAACCTGAAATACTAGGGACAAAAGGCTCTAATGAAGCTGGCTTCACTGATTGGAAAGCTTATTAAGACTAATAAGGCAACTGCTACTAAGGAAAGACTGGAGTATGCCCAGATTATGGTGGAGGTTAAGTTCAATGCTGAGTTACCAGAACTCATTTAGTTCCTGGATGAGCTTGGTAACACAATTAAGCAGGAGGTGAAATATGAATGGAAGCCTAGGGTGTGTAGGGTGTGTGGAGGGATTGGACATGATGATGCTCAGTGTCCTTATCATAAAGTACAAGCTAGGAAAATGGAGGGGCTGCAAGTTGAGAAAAATTAAAAGCTTAATAAACAAAAGAAAAAGCCACAAAGAGTATGGAAGCCAATTCAAAAACCTGATACTAAGAATTAGAATGCTAGGAGCAGGACAAGTACCTTGAATGATGATTTGCAGACTAATGATGCTTGTCAGAAACCTCAGTTAATGAAGCCAGGGGTGATTTTAATCAGCAACAGTGGTAACAAATTCAGTGTCCTGGAAGAGGGAGAATGTTCTCACTCTTACCATGGATAAGCTTGGATTTTGGAATATAAGAGGTCTCAATAAAGATAGCAAGCTCTGTGATGTCCTTTGGTTTATTAGACACCATGGAGTGGGTTTATTTGGACTTCTTGAAACAAAGGTGAAGGTTGGGAAGTTTGGTGATGTGTTTAGTAGGCTTGGAAGTGACTGGTCTGTATGTGCTAACTATCCTTACCATAAAGAGGGTAGAATTTGGGTGGTTTGGTTATCTTAGTTCTTTGATGTGACTGTGGTAAGATGTGAAGTTCAGTTGATTCATGTTTATGTAGCTCACAAAGCTACTAGGTTCAGCTTTGATTGTACTATGGTATATGGTCTGAATACTGCTGGAGCTAGGGTATAGCTTTGAGAGCAGATTGTTGAGCTCAGTAATAAGATTACAGGCCCTTGGATTTTGCAAGGTGACTTTAACAGTGTGCTGAATCTGAATGACAGAATAGGGAGCACTGTGTCCTTAGCTGAGGTTGAGCCTTTTAGATCTTGTCTAAGGAATGTTGGACTCACTGATTGGGCTACAGGAGGAATGTTTTATACTTGGAATAACAAATAGGAAGGCAAGGATAGAGTTTGCTCAAAGATTGACAAGGTTATTGCTAATAATGAGTGGATGCTGAAATTTGCTGATATGCAAGCTACTTTTTTCCTTAAGGGGATAATGGATCATAGCCCTTGTGTGATTAATCTATTTGATTCTGGTAATCATACTAAGAAACCTTTTAGGTTTGTGAATATATGGGTGGACTCTCCAGACTTTCTACCTGGGGTTATGGATGTTTGGTGTAAAATGGTCTCTAGTACTCCTATGTTCCAATGTGTGAGGAAGATGAAAGAGGTGAAGCAGTTTTTGAAAGAATCCAAGATGGGTAGATTCTCTTGTGTGGAGGTTGATGATGTAATTGCTGAGAAACACCTTGAAGACATCCAGATTATGCTGCAAAGTGATCCTGGTAATGAAGAGTTAATCAGTCAAGAAAGATTGGCTAGGATACAGTTTGCTAAAACTCAATCTAATAGATTTAACTTCTTAAAACAAAAAGCTAAAGTTCATTGGCTCAAGGATGGTGATATGAACACAACTTTCTTTCATGCTATGATTAGGAAGAGAAGACTTCAAAATAACATTTACTCTATTGTAACTGATGAGGGGTGTTTATATCAGATCCAGGGCAGGTGTGTGATGCTTTTCTTCAGTATTATCAAGGAATACTTGGTATTGAGACTCAAATGAATGGTAATATCCACCATGGAGTGATTTCTAAAGGTAAAGTGCTTTCTGAAGACCAGGGCATCAATATTTGCAGCGAGTTTTGTGAACATGATGTTAAGAGAGCTTTATGGAGCATTGAGGATGACAAAGCTCTTGGATCTGATGGGTTGTCCAACAAGTTTTTCTCAAGGCTACCTGGAGCATTGTTGGTTTTGATATCACTAAAGATGTTCTGGATTTCTTTAGTTCAGGTAAGCTCCTTAAGCAAATTAATGCTACCACCCTTACTCTGATCCCTAAAGTTGAGCATGCTAATAGGGTCACCCAATTTAGACCAATTGCTTGCTGCAATGTGGTTTACAAGATCATTTCTAAAATTATTTGTGATAGATTGAAGGAAGTGTTACCTGAGCTGATTGATGGATGTCAAGGTGCCTTTGTTTCTGGGAGATCTATCTTGGATAATATTCTGATTTGTCAGGATATGCTCAAAGCTAATAGTAATAAGAGGAAGCCTCCCAGATGTACTATAAAGGTTGATCTGAGGAAAGCTTATGATTCTGTTAATTGGAGATTCATTCATGAGATGTTGAGTGCTCTTAATTTTCCCTCCAAGTTCATCTCTTAGATCATGCAGTGTGTGACCACTCCTTCTTTCTCTTTGTTTCTCAATTCTGGTTGTTATTGTTTTTTCAAATGGAAAAAAGGTGTGAGGCAGGGTGATCCTATGTCCCCTCTCCTGTTTGTCATTGTCATGGAGTATCTAACCAGGCTGCTCAGGAAAATTGGTAAAAAGAAAGAATTCAAATTTCACCAGAGATGTGCCCATTTGGCTCTTAATTATTTGATTTTTGCTGATGATCTGATGCTATTCTCTTATGGTAACACTGAGTCTGTTAAACTCCTTATTAGAGCTTTGAAAACCTTTGGACTTTGTATAACCGGGTCTTTCCTCAAGAATAGCCTTGTAATATAAGGAGACTAGCTTAGGGGGTGTGCACACTTGGGTGAGAAATTACATTAAAAGGAATTGGTTCTTAATAAAGGAATTGGTTTTATTAACTATTATTTTGCATATTGAATCATTGGAATCGGTTTTGAAATAATGAGTTTTGAATTTATTAGATTAATTATTGGAATTGGTTTTAAAAGCATGTTTGCAAATAAATTGAGTTTACACTATCTTGCACTTATTGTACTTAGCATATTTTTCTATTCCGTATTTCTTATTTGTTTTGGTTCGCCCTGTTTACCGTAATGGTAAGCAATGCTGACTATATATAGGTGGAGTCATGAATGAGCATATAGGAGTCCAAGGATTTTCTTCAGTTAGTTTAGGAATGTTGGTCTTGTCTTTATTTTTTGAGCACTCATAACAATGTTACTATTTTTATAAGTATTAATAAAAGAAAGTTGAGTTTCCGCTGCAAGTTTTGTTGTTGAGTTAAGTATTTTGAGTAGCCTTGTGTAATCACGCGGCGGTAATACGCCCAAGTCTATCTCTACAGTATCATTATACGTATTATACTGGTATTTCTGTAGAGGGAGATTTGGGGGTGTTACAAAAACCATCTGGCATACCATTCCAATTCAATTCAAATTCAAACTTCAGAAAATAAAACACAAGTGTTAGAAACCAAACACAAACATTAAAAACCGACCTATTGGGCGGATGATTCATCATAAAAAGATAAACCCTTGGCCAGCAAAACTAAAAATTCAAATTGTTAACTGGCTAATCAGCCGGTGAAAAGAAAGAGAAATTGTTGATTAACCCGACTGCTCAGTCGGTAAAGAAACAAGAGATACTCGGCACGCAGGCCGGAAATGTATTTGAAATGGCCATCCGGGCGTAGAAACAACATTTAAATTAATAAGCTTCAAGACATGACTCAGCTTCATTTTCATCCGCTACCTCTTCATTGGCCGGATGATCTCCATCGCCTTCCTTGGCCTCGTCATCATGCTGGCCCCCTTCGCTGCCATCAGCTCCCTGGCCCGCCCGAGCATCCAGCTCCTCTGTACCTTGCTCATAACGATACTCCCAAATGGAGTAGTCGTCTTTGGGAAAGAGAGCCTTCCACACCATCTTCATTCGAGTGACGCAGTCAGCCTCGTTTTCCTCAAAGAGAAGCTTTTTCTCCTCTTCCACCCTGGCAGACCATTTGGAGGCGAGCTGCTTTTCTTGGTTGGCAAGCTTATGTTGAAGTTTTTCATTTTGGCGCTTGAGACTATCCGTCTCTTTTCCAGCATCTTGGAGCTCTTCAACCTTCTCTTTAGCCTCCTTCAGCTCGGCCTTCAGCTTAGTCACCCTTTTTTGGGTCGCCTCCAAATATTTCTTCACTTGCAAATTTGCAGTCGCATGTGAGTATAGGATATCTTGAGTCAACAACTCAGTTTTATTTACATCAATCATGGCTTTGTCAAGATTGGAAGCGGTTCTTAAGTTGCCACCCCTTACCTCATTCTGCTTGTCGGAAAATGGGTTTTTAAGACCATTAACTCGCAGCATGGCCTGCATCCGGCAAAAAGAAAAAGAAGGTTAGTATACAGTCGGAAAAGGCAAGAGTTAAAAAATAACTTAAAAAATACCTCCGCCAAATTTGCAAGGATATCATCAAAGTTCAGGGAGCCGACTCCTTTAATAGAGTCGCGCTGATCAGCAGAGACGTCGGCGAGCATGTCCTTGGCGATTTGCTTAACATCCGGCGCCTGGGGAGCATCTGCATAATCAATAATTGGTAACAGGATGTCATAGATCCGGCCAAAAGACTAGCTGGTTTCAGAGTGGGTTAGCGAATGACTGTAAGTCTTAACCCTACAAGGGTAAGGCAAGGGATCAAAGGTGGAGGTACCTGGGATGATGACCAGATCCTGAGCATTCTTGTCTTTCCACCTGCTTATATGGCCGCCTGGAGAGTCGGTGGCCCCATTTGGAGGTTTGTCCTTAGTCGATTTGGACTCCTCCGCCTCTTTCAAGGCAGCCATTACAACCGGCGACTTGCCGCCTGTAAAGGGGTGGAACTCAGACTGGCTGGCCGACGGTTTATGAGCAATCGTCTTCCTTCTTTTAGACGGAGTTTGGCCCTCATCCGGAGCCAGCTGCTTTGGGGGCCTTACCTCAAGTGTTGGTAGTACAGGCGGCTTCACCGATCCTTCCTGAAAAAGAATCACAACTTTGAAATAAGAAGTTTGAAAACAGGCCAATGACAAGAGGACGGATGTAAAAAAGCTTACATGCTTAATCTGTTCTCTCTTGAATACTTGGTTTTTGTGCTTCATTATTTGGTAGTAAGCAGAGGCGTCGCCTCCTGGTTTTTTGCTCGGATCAAGCTGAGACATGGCTTCTTCTGCAAAAGGCCGAATGAAATATTAGTAAAAAAAAAAAAGGAAAATGAATGATGAAATGATGGCCATGCAAAGACTTAGGCGGCTGCCCACCTCATCCTTTCTCACTACTAAGGCCACAGGCGTCCAAATAGAAAGGATTAGTTAGCCAATTGAATTATGGGATATAGCTTTTAGGGGTAATCTCTTTCTCGATTCCCCCCTTAACCATTTTTACATCAACTTTAAAAAGACCAGGCGTCAAAATTTTGTCCCAGCCTTCATCAGATACAAGCGGGAGAATAGCTTTTTGACCTAAGAGATAGGGATTTTGGTTCCAGGAGTTATACTTCCGGTTCCGGATGGTATTCGGGAAAGAAATAATGTAAAATTTGTTTCTCCAATCCTTCCATTTGGGTGAAGGCCTCAAAGCTAGGCTCAACGTCCTGCATCCTACAGGCGGCTACAAATCCTAGAATATTAACCCAAGAATTGGGTGCTAGTTGCCATATCCCCAGGCGATACCCGTCAAGGATCCTTTCAATTGCCGAATACAGCGGAAACCTAAGGCCCGCCTGTATTATGGCCGCATAGCACCCAAAGCACCTATCCCCATAGCTCTGGTCAAGCGTCTAGACGACTGAATCGTCAAGGGTCGAAACATTTATCTGATAGCTGGCACCCATGACATAGCTGTCAAGGAAATCACCCAAGTTTTTCCGCATGGTTCTCGGGGTAGATGTGGATATATGGGTGAAGTAAGGAGTAAATTTTTCTTGAAGGGAGGAAGAAGTTTCTTCCTAGCCTCGCTCGATAGAGGCGGCCTTTTTCTCAGAGCCTTCCTCAGCATTCACATGCGACTCTTCCTCACTCCTAAGGCCGCCTGAGCTAGCATCCGACTGAGACAAACCTTCTCCAGAGCCGGATGCCTTTTCGCTGGAAGCATTTTCTGGTTCACTCAGAATCGAGTCAGTCAGCGTCATTGGGACGCTGGATAGGTAATAAGATACCTCGCTTTTGGGCACTCTGATAGGACTCTCGTCCTCTTCATCACTAGGCGACCGAGCTGTCCTTTTTGTTCTAGCCATAGTGTCTTGCACAGACACAGACGGATTCGTTGGCGAGAGTAGTTCAGGACATGAGGCATCCCTAGTTCTAGATTCAGCCGTCCCAGGTGACCAGCTAACAACTACCCTAGGTTGTGCCGTGTGTGTTTGTGATACCATTTAAAAAAAAAGAAACAAACACAAGCGAACTGAAAAGAGAGAGAAAAGAGCAGGCGGTTGACTTAAAGAGGTACTGCTGAAGTTGAACAAGCCGACTGGGTCAGGTGGCAAATAGCAAGCGACAGACGGAAGTGCTTTTTTAAAAGAAAAGTCAAAGATTCTCTCATATTCTCTGAAGACTTTTTTCGTAAATGAGTGACAAGTGACAAGTTTATCTTCTCTCATATTCTCTCAAGACTTTTTTAAAAGAAAAGGCAAAGTTTCTATTTATAGAGGGGTAACTCCAGGGGCATCCTGGTAAATTCCCCAAAAGGTGAAAAATAATTATTGTTCCACCACTAAATGAGTGACAAGTGTCACAGATGCCACGTGGCCCTCCACATCACATCTGTAAGGGGAAAATGTTTTGGGTAAAATCACCCCGCCACGTGGTCCAATGAGAATAGGACACGTGTCCACCCTATATTGGCCTAAATTGGGCTACTTAAAAAATGACACGTGGAATCCACTGTCATCAAAAGGAATGACGGCTTTCAAAGGCCCAATTCCCAAAAAGCCGCCAAAAGTGCGGGCAGCCCACCAAATCAAGGTCAAATGACCTACGTGAGGGCACACTTATAAAAAATGACCCTATAAATAGGGAGATTTCCCCTATTTGTGGGACAGATTGAATTTATTACAATATCACTGATATTCTCTTACATCAGAGAAATCTCCTGATCTCGGAATCCGAGAAGATCTCACCTTTATCTTTTTCCACACTTTTTACTCACTTCAACACATTTTAACTTGATTGTCGGAGGCGGAGCTCCAACCACCCGGAGTCTCTGTTGTTTTGCAAATACAGGCGATCCTCAACCAGACTTCGAGTTGTAACTCTCCCGAGGGACAAAAACACCCAAAACAGGTGTGGAAGGCCAGTTATGTATCATAAGCAATTTTGGTGTTGGGGAAAACACTGGAGATTTCAGGGCCAACACACCATCTCTACAAGATTAATTTTTCTACTAAAAAACTATTAATGTTTGTGAAGAAAACTTACCATCCCTCTACATGGCTTTAACTTAGTATCCAT